TTATTATTATTATTATTATTATTATTATTATTATTATTATTATTATTCTACACGTAGTTTTCGATTTACATCTAGAGTTGATCCTAAAATTTTCATCCCTAAGCAAGACAGTTGCTAAAATGAGTTTTGCCCTATTATTTTATGGCCCTCTCTGGTTGGTAAGTGAATCCCAGCAGTTGTTAACCTGGTCACCTGGTTGTTAAGTGAATCTGGCTTCCCCATTGACTTCGCCTGTGAAAGGGAATCGCTTGACCCCGGGGACATTGCAACCGTCATAAAGACAAGCCAGGTGCCAAGATGGGCCTGGACTTTGGTCACCTGACCACGGGGGTGCCCCAACGGTCGTAAGTGTGAAAAATGGGCGTTAAGTCCCTTTTTCTCAGGGCCGTTTTAACTTCAAGCGGTTACTAAATGAATGGTTGTAATTGGAGGATTGTTTGTACTGTAGAGCAATGTTTTTCAACCTTAGTGCCAGGATTCTGGCATTTAACCCTATTGAAATCATGAGTCTCGAGCCAAACTTCCAAAACTTAAAAATAATTTATTGGGAGTTAACGTGTCCAGCACTGCCTGGGTGTAGCCGACTCTGAGACACATCATTCATTGTCACCCTTGACCCTGGTTTTCCTTCCACCCCTGGGTGTATCGTAATTCATATTCTCCAATGGGACACCTCCATAGCCCAGAGTCATCAGTCAGGCTCTCCAGTTAGAATTTTGTGCAGCAGAAACTTCGGTCACCTAGTTACTATCTTTGAAAACGTTTATGGAATGCAGTTTCAGTTTCCAAGCTGCTGCACTGCTTTTTCAAACCCTTTCCCCCACCCCTCCCTTTCTGGTGGCAACTCTAAAAGACCATAGAATTATTTTATGAGTTGACGCTTAGCAGCTTTGAGAGTTGTGGGCTTAAATTCCCAGAATCTTCCATTGGATTGTGGAATGCTAGCTCCAAGTGTCTCAGTTTCAAACAGGTGTGGACTTCAGCTCCCAGCATTCCAATGCTTCTTTCTTCACCTTCTTTCAGGCAAGCCCTCCCCCTTGCCACCCCCCTCCTTGGACAGCCAGCGTCCCGAGATGCTGCTGCGGGTGACTGTCGGGGGGCTGACCTTGACCTTGCTCCATCAGCCACCTGGGCTTTTCCCGTCGGATATCCTTTCCCTCGCCGTTGCTCAGCGATTCTTCTCCCAGCTGGGGGCCCTGAAGGACGCAGCCTTCGGAGGCCGGGATTTCCATCCCTTGCGCCGCTGCTTCGAGGAGGCCATCCCACGGAGCCATGTCAGGTGAGTCCAGTCCAGAGTTTCCCATCCTTAGAGACTTTTAAGATGGGTGGACTTCAACTCCCAGAATTCCCCAGCCAGCCTGGGTTTCCTACCCCTAAGCAACTTTAAGATGGGTGTTCAGCTCCCAGAATTCCCCATCCAGTCTGGGATGACCCAAAGGGGCTTGGCACAAAGGCAACCCAGTCAGATGATCAGTAGGAGTCCCTTTATTAGCTCCAACTTATTAGCCCCCAATGTCCTGGTTCCCTTCTGGGCTGGAGAAAAAAACTCCCAGGAACAGCCTTGGGCTGCAGAGAATCAAGTCCAAAACATGGTCAACACAAACTGTAACAAAAGTCCAATCAAGGCAAAATGAGGTAATTAGTCTGGCAGGGTAGGAGCAAGAATTTCAGATGTGAAGGAACGGTCGTAATTCAACCCGGTTGGATAGACGCCAAGAACACAGATAACCAAAGTCAACACAAGATAAACTCATGTTTGTTCCCAGTAGATGCCTTACTCAGCCTGCATCTCTTTTAAACTCTCTTCCCAGCTGTGGCTAATGAAGGGAATCAGGGCCCTTTCCTCCCCTGTAAGCTACGCAACCCACGTTGCTCCCTTCTCCATTCCTCCCTGCGTGCCCTAGGATGAAGAGGGGGGTGGGCCTGGGTCTTCCTCTGAATTCCCTCTTCCTTGTTCTACCTCTCCCCTGCTCTGCCCAGCCGGACTTTGCCCTTCCCCAGTTTCCTCCACAGCCAAGGGATCCACACTCCCACTCTCTGTCGGCTGTTCGTCTTCCTCCTCGGATTCAGACTCCAACAGGGGCATGACACAGTCAGTGTTTTCTATCCTTAGCAATCTTAATATAAGGGAACTTCCAACTCCCAGAATTCCCCATCCAGTTAGTGTTCCCTGACCTTAGCACCTTTAAGATAGGTGGACTTCACCTCCCAGAATTCCCCAGCCAGGCAGTGTTTTCCATCCTTAGTCATTTTTAGTTGGGTGGACTTCACCTCCCAGAATGCCCCAGCCACTCAGTGTTTCTCAGATAACTTTAAGATAGGTGGACTTTAACTCCCAGAATTCCCCAGTCAGCTGACTGGGGAATTCTGGGAGTTGAAGTCCAGCCTATCTTAAAGTTGTCTAGATTGAGAAAAACACGTCTCTAAGGCGAGTAGGCCGGGTTTTTTTTCCCCTGCTCTTAAATTTGCTCCTTTGTCCTGCTCTTTTTCTGAGGTACCTTTGGGGGCTTCTTTCCATCTTCCAGGCTGACGGGGGCTGCAGTCCAACTCACCTGCGAGCACAAGGCTTCTAAGCAGCTGCGTGGGCTCAACTGGGACACCTCCTTCGGCCTTCTGGAGATCTTGGAGTGCCTTTGGCCAGCCAGCAGAAGGACGGGGAAACCCGAATACACTCAGGTGTGGAGCGGGGGGGGGGGGGGGCGTCTTCGGGGGGGGGGTAGCCTCACCAAGGCTGGAGTTGAGGTTGAGGGTTCTCCCTGGATGTGAAAGAGAAGGACGTTAATAAGACCTATCACCAGAATAAGCTTTTTTTTAAACTCATGCCTATAATATCAGCCCTACCCTCAAAATAAGGCCTACTTAAGTGCCTGCGCGGCCGCCCAGCTGCCCATTCCATCTGGTTTCTCGCGGTACCGTCGACATGAGGTAAGGCGAAGAGGGGGTGGAGTTGCCCCACACGGCCCCACACCGGCTTACCTCAGGGCCCATGCAGCCAGGGCCCTCCACACCCCGACAACGGTCATGTGGCTGCAGCACCAGTGCATTGTTCGCCCTCCTGCTCCTTGCGGCCGTGAGCAAGCAGAAGAAGAGGGCTGGGGGCCACGCAGGGTCTGGGTACCAGAATGGTCAAACAAATGGCAACTTCAAATCTCAACAAATAAATGCTCTGTCTTACATATTGGCAGAAAAAAAATCAGAAAATAAAATTCAGGCTGAATAGTCAAGACCTTGTTGAGGATCCAAACTCTGTCAAGGACCTTGGAATACTCATCTCAAATGACCTAAGTGCTAGAGCCCACTGTAACTACATAGCCAAAAAGGCATTAAGAGTTGTTAACCTAATCCTACGTAGCTTTTTCTCTGGTAATATCACACTACTAACTAGAGCATACAATACATTTGCTAGACCAATACTCGAATACAGCTCATCAGTCTGGAACCCACATTACATATCTGATATTAACACAGTTGAGAAAGTCCAGAAATATTTCACAAGAAGAGTTCTCCACTCCTCTACTCGTTGCAGAAGACCTTATGCCACCAGACTCGAAATTCTAGACCTAGAAAACCTAGAACTACGCTGCCTCCGGTCCGATCTAAGTATAGTATATAAAATCATACCTTGCAATGTCCTACCAGTCAATGAATACTTCAGCTTCAGCCATAACAACACAAGAGCAAACAATAGATACAAACTCAAGGTTAACCACACCAAACTTGATTGCAGGAAATACGACTTCAGCAATAACAGAGTGATCAATGTCTGGAATACCCTACCTGACTCTGTGGTTTCTTCCCCAAACCCCCAAAACTCTAACCTTAGACTGTCTACTATTGACCTCACCCCTTTCCTAAGAGGCCTGTAGGGGGTGTGCAGAAGCGCACCAAAATGTGTCTACCGTCCCTGTCCTATTGTGTCTTCTATTTTTATTTTTTATTTTTCTTATATGTATCCATGTGTTCATAACTATGTTTTTACTTATTCCTATTATCTTGTAAGCAATTGACCAACCAAATAAAATAAATAAATCATGTCACCCCTAGTTCTTCTTTTCATCAAACTAGACATACCCAGTTCCTGCAACTGTTCTTCACATGTTTTATCCTCCAGTCCCCTCGTCATCTTTGTTGCTCTTCTCTGCACTCTTTCTAGAGTCTCAACCTCTTTTTTACATCGTGGGGACCAAAACTGAGTGCAATATTCAAAGTGCACTATAAATCAGTGTTAACGCTTCACGTCATCTTGATTCCCTATATCCTTCTCGGACTGGGTGACGTTGGGCTCTGGATCTGTCTCCAGATGGCACCTTCCAGAGTTTCCCTCCCGATACATCCTCGCATTCCGATGACTTCCCTCCTTCCTCCTGTTCTTGCTGTCTGATTGCGAGGAAGCTGCGTAGCAAGTCAGCCACGACAACAGAGCAGGACAAAAGCTGATTATGTCTTTCTCGTTCCCTTCTAGCTGCTGGTCTTTCCCACCCCGGGACCCGTCCCCTACAGCCAGGCGCCTCAGCCCTGCGCACGGATCCGGTCCAAGCACTTGGAGAAGCTGCCGTCCTCCAAGGTTTGCCAGCCGGGCGAATTGTGGAGGGGCGGGTGGGCCTTGCTGGGCATGTCTGAAGCAGAACTCCTCCATCCCTGGAGGGGCTGCTCTGTTCTAGCTTCTTCGGTCCTGACTGGATGGTGGGAAAAGGAAGGAAGCTGGTCCTTTGCATCCTTTTTAGAGAGTCAGTGAGGTTACTTGGTCCCCGAGAACACAGATAAACCCCCAGGTGGCCTCAACGGCCCTCCTAAAAAGAAGGCAAATGACTAGCTATCTGCAAGGAGAAGAAGCGTCTCAGATGAGAAGCGAAACGTCTTCGAAGAAAAACCAAAAAGTCCAGTTGCCCCTTGAAAAAAAAACACCTGGGGGGTTCTTTTAAGGCCCAAGTTTGCACCTGCTTTTGTTTCAAAGAGCCTTGGCAAAGGCACACTTCCACAGAAGAAGAGAATGTGGTGGGTTTGTCCAAGCACACACACACACACACGCACACACGCCCTGCCCAGTTCACCAAAGGCAAAGTCTGCAAGCAGAGAAGGCTGGGATGACCCAAAGGGGCGTGGCACAAAGACAACCCAGCCCGATAATCAGCAGGAGTCCCTTCATTAGCTCCAACTTATTAGCCCCCAAGGTCCTGGTTACCTCCTGGCTGGAGAAAAACCCTCCCAGGAAGTCCCTCCCTGTCAGCTGTTCGTCTTCCTTCTCGTATTCGGACTCCGACAGGGGCGCGACGAAGGCAGTGTGTGAAGAATAAGCCACCCTCGAGCTGAGTGGCCTGGCCTGACCCTCCAATTCGCCCGTCCCTTGGACATTCAGACCCGCCCTTCTTAACTTGCTTGGCTGGGGAATTCTGGGGGTTGGAAGCCCGCCCATCTTCCAAGTCCCCAGGGTTGAGAGGTCTGCTCCGGGCTGACCTTTGGTGCCATCCTTGCAGAGTGGCCTGGCCAAAGGGGCCTCGTCCAAGCTGACGGTGGACTTGGCGGTCGAGCTGGCTGAGTTCCTCTCGGAAGTGGACCTGGGCACCCTGGATCGCCTCTGCTCCCTCTTGCAGCCCACCGTGGTGCCGTCCCGGCCGGGGGGCTACCCTCCCGAAGAACCCATGGTAAGGCGGAGGGGAGGTCGCTGGCTGGCCAGCTCCAGAGGGCGGCTCCTCCTTCGGAGTTGGATTGATACTTTACTGACAAAGAAAAAGAGGGCGACCAGTATAGATCTGTTCCAGACTGTTTAGCTCTCGTCAGGTAGCCGTAGCCTTCTGGGATTCCGCCTTGGGCTACTTGCATGTTAGGTGGGTGTGTTAACCTCTTGGCCACAGGCTCCCCTTCCTTTCCTGGCTAGACCAGCGGGAAGGTGAAGGGATTTTCAGGTGAGACCGGTCTTATCAGGGCAACCTGGTCTACCCAAAGTTTGAATAGTAACAATTACTACTATTTCACCTTTTCCTCCTCTTCCTCCTCCTCCTCTTCTTCCTTCCTCTTCTTCTCCTCCTCTTCTTCCTCTTTTTTTCTTCCTCTTCTCCTTCTCTTCTTTCTCTTCCTCTTCTCTTCCTTCTCCTCCTCTCCTCCTCCTCCTCTGTCTCTTTTGCGACGAGCAAAATTCAACACAAAAATAGTTTTGTCGCGAAAGCGGCCGCCTGCGAGGGCTCCTGGATTGGGGCTGAAAGGAGAAAGCGGAAGCCGTATGCTCCGTCCCACATTTGGGTTGCCCTGATAGGCCGGCCTCACCGGGCAGACGCCTTTCTCTCCTTCTGAGGTTGCCTTCTCCTTCTCTTCCCCTTGCTGGGTGCCAGCCAGGTTTCCCCCCGGCTGCCCGATGGCAGGCCAACGTGCAGCTGGTCGCCCCCAGAGCGTCCCTGCTCCTCCAGTTCCCCATCCCAGACCTCCGCCCCTGGACGGAGAGGCGCGCCTGGGCTGAGAAGGCGGTGCGCAGGGAGCACTTGCGGCTGGACCTGGCCGGCGTCGAGGTGCGCACGGATTTGGAGCCGACGGGGCCCACCAGGTTAGAAGTCACCCTGACCGACTTGCACGGTGAGTGAAGAGGTGCTTCCCCAATGTCCCTCTTCCCCAGGAAGAACAGTGGTGGGGTTCGGGTTTTTTTTTTTACTACCGGTTCTGTGGGCGTGGTGTGCCTTGGTGGGCGTGGCTTAGTGGGCGTGGCATGGGAAGGTTCCTGCAAAATCCCCCTTCCCTCCCCACCCCACTGACCTGCTTTCCAGC